TGGTTAAAAAGAAAGATTTTTCCTGACATATGTCTGTAGATTACCAATAATTAAATAAGAAGATAGTACCGGATAAGTTTCCAATTTCGGTGGTAGACGAGTTACTAGATGAATTGCATGGTATGAGGTATTTTTTGAAGCTGGATTTAAGGTCTGGATATCATCAAATTCATGTTAGAGAGGAGGAAGTTGGTAAGACCACTTTTAAGACTTAAGAGGGCCATTATGAGTAAGTAGTTATGTCATTTAGTCTTATGAATGCTCCAGCTACATTTCAGTCTACAATGAACCAAGTTTTTTGGCCATTTCTTTGTCATTTTATGTTGTATTTTTTTACTATATGTCTCAGCATTTGCTTAATCTCTCTCAAGTGTTAGAAATTTTGCAAGAATACAGGTTTTTTTTTGCTAATGCTAAGAAATGTTGTTTTGGGCAAAAGCAAATTGAGTATCTTGGCCATGTTATCTCCTGGAGGGGTTGAGATGGACCTTGAAAAAATTAAGAGTGTGTTGAACTAGCCTGCTCCAAAAAATGTGAAAGAAGTACGAGATTTTGTTGGTCTCATAGAATATTAACAAAAGTTTATTGTTGACTATGGAAAGATTGTCAAGCCATTGACTAAGCTCACTAAGAAAGATGCATTTTTGTGGGGACCAAGTGCTACAAAAACTTTTGAAATATTGAAGAAAGTTGTAACCTCTGCTCTAGTTTTGAGGCTGCCTAATTTTTCAAAATAATTTGTAATGAAATGTGATGCAGGAAGAGGTTTAAGGGATGTTTTGATGCAAAAGTAGCAGCCAATAGCATGTTTTAGCAAAGCTCTCTCTGATAGTCAACTCTCCAGATCTATTTATGAGAAATAACGTATGACTTTGGTTTTAGCTATTAATCATTGGCGTCATTACCTTATTGGAAGGAAGTTCACGATATTTTCTGACCAACGAAGCCTCAAGGACCTTTTATGACAAAAAGTGATTTTTGCTGACTAGCAAAACTGGTGCCTAAACTCCCGAGTTATCAATTCGAAGTGATTTATAACCTTGGGACTGAAAAGAAGGTTGTTGATGCACTCTCTAAAATTCATGAAGAAGCTGAATTTGGAACTTTTATTTCAGTTCTAGTTTGGGATAGGGTGAAGATCTTAAGAAAGAGATTGAACAATATCCTTTTATTTAATAGGTAAAAGTTGATCTGTTGCAAAATTCATGTAGTAGACTTGTATTCTCCATCCAAAATGAGAAGTTATTGCACAAAAGCAGCTTGATAAATCTTGCTTCCTCTTCCTTTATTCCTCAATTGCTTTGAGAGTTTCACTTATCATTGGAAGAAGGTCATTCAGGATTTTTGAAGACTTTCCGCAAAATTGCTAGAAATTTGTACTGGTTGGGTATGAAGAAAATAATTCAATTCATTAAGGAATGTGATGTCTGTTAGAGACAAAAGTACGCGACTACTATTCCCGTAGGTTTTCTGCAATCGTTGCCCATCTCCAGTTTGATTTTGGAGGATGTGTCATTAGATTTCATTACTGGGCTTCCTAAGTCTAAGGGTTATGAAGTAATCTTGGTAGTAGTGAATAAATTGTCTAAATATGCGCATTTTATTCTGTTGAAACACCCTTACATAACCAGGTCTATAGCTGAGGTTTTCGCTAAGGAAATTGTGAGGTTATATGGTGTTCTGGGTTCCATTATCATTGATAGGTACCTGCTGTTTATCAACTCTTTTTGGCAAGAACTTTTCCAGTTAAAAGGCACAAAATTGCAAATGAGTTCATTATACCATCCTAAAACTGATGATCAAATAAAGGTCTTAAATATGTGTCTAGAAACATATCTAAGGTGCTTTGCTTTTGAGCAGACTAGAACCTGGTCCTTTTTGGTTCATTAGGTCATATTTTGGTATAATATGTCTTTTCACAGTGCCACTGCTACTACTTTATTTGAAACTATCTATGGGAGGCCTCCTTCTAAAATCATTTGCTTTTTGCTAGGAGAAACAAAGGTAGAAGCTGTAGCTAAAGACCTCGTTGATAGAGATTAAGCTCTTCTTCAACTGATGTTCAATCTTACTAAAGCTCAACAAACGATGAAAAACTATGCACATAGAAAGCACAAAGATTTCTCTTTTGAAGTAGGAGAATATATTTTCCTTAAGCTACGTCCTCACCGGCAGTAAACAGTTCAAAGAAGGGTCAATCCAAAGTTAGGAGCCAGGTTCTTTGGACCTTACAAAATCCTCCACTAAGTGTGACCTGTATCCTACAAGCTGCAGTTATCTGAAGCTTCCTGGGTTCATCCAATATTTCATGTTTTTCAATTGAAGAGAGCTATTGGAAACTACATTGCATTTCCATATTTGCCTACTAGTTTTGAAGTAAAGCTGGAAGAATTTGTTAAACCAGAGGCTGTGATGGCTTCTAGGGAGATTATGCGAAATGGAGAGTTAGTAAAGCAGTGGTTAGTTCAATAGAGGAATTATCCAGCTGAAGATATTACTTGGGAGGATGAAACCATTTTATAGAGTTAATTTCTCAAATTCAGCTTGGAGGACAAGGCTGCAGTTCCAAAAGAAGGGAATGTTAGGATTGGACTAAGGCCCAATATAATTGTTAACTTTGACTTGGTTACTAAGGCTAAACCATGATTAGTCTATTCTAAGAGGAAGTAATACCGCTGTTAGCCTAGTTAGTTCGAGAGTCTATTTCTGTTATTATACTTGTATAGTTATAAATAGGTAAGGGAGATAGTTTGTTAGGAGTTCTTTGGGAGGGATTACTATGTAAATTCTTTGGGCAGAGAGATATCTTCGAGGAGCAATGCTCTAGGGTATTGTTGTACAAAAAATCACTCGTTGAAATAAAGATTTCTTCATTTTGATTCTTTCTTAGTTTTTTCTTGATTTCCTGTCGATTAACTTACCACTTATTGGCAGAAAGTGCACTTTGGTAAAAGGAAGATGGATTGTCCATGGAAAAACAGATCGTTTCCTGTTATATGAAGGATGGATAAATGAATGGAGATATATTTCACAGTAGAGGCTAAATAGAAGAGTGTCTCATCATTATGCATTTGTGCTGAAGAAAAGGGTAACCAATTGGGGGACCAAAACCATTCAAGATCCTAAATTGTTCAAGATTGGATGATGGATATTTTGAGTTTGCTAGGAAGTCTTAGAAGGAAATTAAAATAAAAGGGACAGGCTACATATGTCATCAAATACAATTTGAAAAGGAACAAATCTCTTTTAAAACATTGGCAGGAAGATTGAAGGATCCAAATCAAAATTATCCATGACAATTTGTTGAGAAGTGAAGTTGATGGGTTATCACTTGAAGAAATTGAAAATAGAAGGGTGTAGCATAAATTGAAAAGTAATTTTCTATGAAGGAAAGCATAACTTTTCAAAAATCGAGAATGAATTGGCTCAAGAAAGGAGATTCTAATTATAGATTCTTTCATCATTGTGTGAACAAAAGAAGGAAGATTAATGAAATAAATAACTTGAGATTTATAGTAGCAAAGCGGAAGAAGTAAGGAAAGTCAAAGGTGCACTTCAAAGCAATTTGGAAACTAAATTCTAAAATTTTATTTTATATAAAATCTTCTATAAATTATTTGCAGACTTTGTATATTACTTGTTTCAGATATCTTTTTTAATATAATTCATGTTTAGGTTTTCTTTTAATCTACAAACACTTTTGTAAATTTGGATAAAAAATGTCTCAATATTTCTTATATATGTTTTTATTTCAAATAATTTAGAAAATAGATTTACAGTCACATTATACGTTCAAAAAAATTCATTGACTAAGTATCAATTAATTTTTGATTTGTTTGATATTCAGTAAATTTAATCTACTTAATAACTTTTGATTCAAATAGTACAATTACTGCTGCACCTGCATCTTTGTTATTCTCATGCCCAATGGAGACATTAGAGGTCCATATAACTATGGTCAGAGCAGATGTTTCTAAGAAGAAAAGAAAGAAAAGAAAATTCATTGTAAAATTACACCTAAGAAGAATGATATTTTAAAATTGGCAACCTGTACCATATTCAAACTGATACTCGACATGCCTATTATATATCTGCTCTGACATTAAGACTTTATTGCAATATTTTTAAATATTTTATTATACATATTCTTTTAATTATAACAAATTAGTATCTTAATTTAAATATAATATTTTTCTTTAAATTTGATTATGATTATACTTTTTTAATAAATTTTTCAAGAGATTAAAAATCAATAACAATACCATGAAGATGAAAATTAATATAAATATTAGATATATTTTAAAATAAAAAAATCAAGAAAAATAAATGAACAAAGTATAAGAAATCTATAAAAAAAATATTACTTAGTATATTTCTAATATACCCATATATTAATTTCTTAAAAAAAATTAACATATTTACGTACAGTGCTGTATATTCACCCGTATTACACAAGTTGATGAGATTCTGCGCCGCTCTTCCTCAAGTTGAAACAGAACATTCATTTGCGTGGTAATTTCTTTGAAGAAGATAAGCAATTTCAAAGGGACACTCTTCATTCCATTTTGCCATATTGCTTAGCTTTTATGGCTCTGCTCCGTTTCGATTTCTTGTCCACCGATTTTGGCATTTTTGGGAGGCTTGCTTCGGTTTTCCGGTTTACGCGTGAGGCGCGGAGAATAATTCTTTTCTTCTTTACCAAGTCCCTTTTTATAATACAGAACAACTATTTTTAATTGAAGGTTACTCATCTTTTTTTGTTCTTTTGGTTAAATAGTGTTATTCCTCTATGAAAATATGTATAGAACTATGCCCTGTCACCAATGTGTACAAGGGGTTGTTCCCACTAAGTACTAAGGAAGCCCCCGTGCCAAAAAGTTCCATTTTATTGGTTAAAATAAGATAAAATCATTCCCTCACCTCTTCTCTATAAATATTACTCGGTCATATAAAATTATAAAACTATAGAAAATCAAATATAGAAAAGGAAGAAGAAGATAATGCCTGAAATTCGTTCAACTAACCTCGAATCACTTGAAAGGTTAGTCCCTTAGTCACTCTCTCTTCAGCTAAATCTTTTTGCAATGTCACCATAAATGTCAATTTTATCTTATGAGGACTTTTTAGAATTTTTCTTTTCATCTTTAATATTTGAAACCGTCTCAGAACCTGTTTTGTTTTGTTTCGATGACAGCACAACCTCTTTAGGGATGAGTTTTCCATCCCCATTGAACGGTGTTATAATATTTGTGGTAACTACATTAGGTGGCTACCTCCAAATTCAATACCAAACAAAGAAACTGTCTCCATTTGAAGAACATTACGAGATTATGTGGGCAGTTTCTGTGGCCTTATCCCTTTATTCTGCGATGTTAATAGCTGAACTCAAATTCCACGTTCACAAATACTGTTTCCTTTCAATCATTAAACGATTTACTGTGCTAATGGGAGCTCTTGTTGCTGTTCTGCTTACTATAATCATACTACCCCTATTTGGATATTTCAAGTTGCTTCTTTGGATCGTTTGTTTTGCAAAAGCAACACTAGTCAGCAGAGAAGAAATTTGTGACTGGTTTCGGCATGGATTTTGTGAAACCATTGAAATGTTATGTGGCTACTTTGGCAGGGAAAACAATAGTTTGCCAGTCTAATGTGCAAGAGTAATATTATTCCCATCTTATCGCTTATCGCTTCTTTTTTGTTTCTCTTTCTGTCTAGACTAACTTGTAAAAAGTTGTACGTATTTATAGTACAATTATCATTTCTCACTGCTAGTACCACGCCAACATTTGTTAAGTGCTGACAAATTAATAGCCTATCTAATAATTGAGATAAAATAGAATTTGTATGGTAATTAAGTCTTGTTCTGTATTTTTCTTCCTTGCTTTTACATTTAATCGCGACATGTATTTATAAGGGATTGAAGTTATTTGCTTTACCTTGTGATTGAATATCTATGCCTTCCCTTATTATTGTTTAAAAATAAAAAATCATCAAGCTTCTTTATATCATTGGTCCAGCAAAGAAAGACATTAGATGCCCACTGAATTCTCGGGGCACCAAAGCATTCACCTTATATTTTTCATATTTGTTTGAGGTGTTCAGTTGCTGCATAATATGTATTACTGTATTAGTGGGTAGTTATTCGGTGACTTGATTGACCAAGTCCTAGTAAGGTTTAAGTTATTTCCCATTTTCTGTAACTTCCTTTGTTCTATGCACTTGCCTATTTAAGAGGCATCGTACGCCTGGAATATATACTGTGCGTAATTCAGAAAAGAACATTTTTAAGGTCTACTTTTGTTTCATTTTTCTGCCATCAGTGTCAGTGGTATCAAGAGCCAGGTTCATGGCTTCTCATAGTTTTGCGTAGCCAGCTAGTCCTCGCTTTGACGGTCTTCAAGACCATTGGAGCATGCTAATGGAGAATTTTCCAAGGTCTGAAGAGTATTGGCAAGTTGTTGAATCCGATGTACAAGAAACAGCAACTAGCAAGACAGAGACACAGAAAATTGAAGTAGAAGGACTGAAGCTGAAGGGTTTAAAGGCAAAGAACTATCTTCTTCAAGCAATTGATCGATCAATTTTGGAGACTGTTCTTTCAAAAGATACCTCCAAGCAGACATGGGATTTCGTGAAAAAAAGAAATCAAGGCTCATCTAGAGTGAAGTGTGCATGAATCCAGGCCTTGAGAAAAAAGGATTTGAGACCTTGCAAATGAGGGATGATGAATAAATTATCAGTTATTGTGAAAGAACCATGTGGATGCAAACAGCACGCGTTTCCATGGTGAGAAGATCGAAGTGTTGTCACTGATAAAAATATTGCGTTCCTTTGCACCAAAGTTTGACTTCGTTGTTGGCTTAATTGAAGAATCTAAAGACAGAGATTTACTCACCCTTGATGAATTGCAGAGTTCTTTGTTGGTTCAATGAGCAATAGAAGAGCAAGTTTTGAAGGCTTCTAACTTTTCTTCAAACTCTAGAGGGAGGCGCAAAAGAAGAACAGATCAAAGCTGCAGCCAAGATGGAAGCAAACATTCTAAAACTGACGATGATCAAGTTCACAACAAAGGTAGATGTTGGGATCGAAATTTTGACAAATCATAAACTTGGTCATTATCATTGTGTGTGCTGTAGTAAGCTGTCTAACAACAAATAAAAAGGAGATAAATCTAATTTTGCAGTCATTGTGGATACAGGCTGTAGCAATCACGCGTGTTGAAGTAAGTTTTATTTAAGTAAAGGTTTCGTTCTACAGTAAGTTTTAGTGATTGTTCTACTGTTAGTGTAATGGAAAAGGGTGATATTACTATAAAAACAAGAATGGTTTTATAGAAACAATCTCCAATGTTTTTTATGTCCTTCACTTGAAGAGTAAACTGCTAAATGCTGGTCAATTGCTTGAGAAGGATTACGTAATAACTGTACAAAAGGGTGCTTGTGAAATATATGATTATTTCAAGGAGCTACTCGAGCGATTCTAATGAGTTCAAATATACTGTTTACATTAGGGATGAAATATTCAACCTTAGCTTGATGGTTGTGGAGAAATACACATCATGGTTGTGCATTTATGATAGAAGTCACTTTTAACTTCATATTTAATCATATTTCAAAATAAATTTTAGATTAATTTACTTATATTAAATTAAAATACTGTATAAAAGTATAAAATAGAATATTATATTATTTTTATTTAAAATATCAAATAATTATAATTTTTAAGTAAATTTATTATAGATGAATTAATTTATGTTATTTTTTTAGAGAAAATTGAAATAAAGAATAACTTAAACAAACTAATAAATTACAAAAGCTGGTTAAGAGGTCAAGTATTCTAATGCTTATATTTAGGGATAAAAACAGGTCAGTCTAGACTTTATTCTAAACAGGCCTGAATGGTAACATAATTATTAGGTTTGAGTCTGGCCTAATACCTATTAAAGGCTTTATTTTTAGGCTTGGCCTGGTCTGTTTAAGTCGTCTGACCTGGCCTGAAGCCTGTTACAAAAAAAAATTAATATTAATAAAAATATAAATATTTTATTATCAAATTAGTTTATATATTTTTTTAATTTCTATCTATGTTATTAATAATTATTAAATAATTATAATAATATTAATATAATTTTATAAATAATTTTTAAAATATTATTTAAGTATTAATTATAAATATTTTATATTAATAAAATTTATATTTATATTTTTCTTGATTTATTTTATAAAAATTATATAAATAGTAAATATTTTAGTTTTATTTTAGAAACATATTTTGTTTGTTTAAAGACATCTTATATTCAACAAATAAAGTTATAGTAAACATATAAAATTGATGAAAAAAAAACATTCAAACAATTTCTTGAATTAATTAAAAGAAAATTATTATGTTTTAAAAAATAAATAAATTTAAACTTAATGCAATATATATATATATATATATATATATATAATGATAATAATAATAACTATTAAATTAAAAAAATAAATTTAAAATATTTAATTTTATTTATTTCATTAATTTTTTATTTTAAATTAACAAATAAACATAAAATTAATTACATTATAACATTAATGTAATATAGAAAATATTACCGATACAATAAATTAAAACATATACTTATATATTACATATAAATTGATAAATTAACTAATAATTTAATTAAAATATGTGCAAGTTATAAAAAAATATATTATTATATAATTTATTTATGCATATATTATTTATATTATTTGCTACATGGTCTAATTATATATATATATATATATATATATATATTATAATAAATTTTTTATTTTATTTTCTTATCATTTTTTATAAATTTTTCCTTTCAAATAAAATATAATTTATATTTAAGCAATTTTTATTTATTTCGTTTAGTTTTGATTACGTCTTATTCCTGTTCAAAGACTTAACTATTTTTTAAATTATTTAAATATAATAAATGTAATAATTTATTATTAAATAAATTTATTATTTAAAAAGTGTAATCATGTATAAATATTTTTAATTTTTAATAAAATATAATTTTTGTTTATTATAATTATAAATAAATAAAATTATAACATAATATATTAATTTAATAATAACAGAATTAAGAATATAAAAAATATATTATTAAATAACTTTACTATTTAAATATATTTTGACAACTCTATTTTTAAATTATAATATATATATATATATATATATATATATATATATATACAGGCTAGCCTGTCAGGCTTAACATGTTTTATAAACAGTTTAGGCCTATCTTATTTACTTAAATAGGCCTTAAAAAAAGCCTAAGCCTGATTTATTTATTAAAAAGGTCAGGTCAGGCCAGGCTTAAACCAAGCCAGACCACAGGCTCCTGTGAGGCGGTCTAGCCTGTTTTCATCCCTACTCATATTGAGTGCTCCAACATTCACTTACAAAAAAGTAAAGCTTTAGTAATTAGCTAAGTGTTCCAACTTTAGGTTTCAACATTCCAACTCTCATAACTCGAGAGTTTGAAGATGTTACATTTTGAATAAAGGTTTCAAAAGTGTTTCAATACCCATTATAGCGTCCCAACACTCAATATGATTTTGAAGGCTATAAATAGATAATAGGGGCTATTTTGATATATCTCTCTCATAATTTTTAGGTTTTTTATTTTAGAAATTTTTCTTCGATTTAAATTTTCTCTTCTTCATATGTTTGGGAGACTTTTTTTGATGTCTTTCCAAATTCTCTACGTAATTTTTTTCTATTATTATTATGTTGTTGTATTGTTTATGCATTCTATTTCTAAATTATCATAAGATGGATTCTAGGTTAAGTTTTATATAATGCTTTTGCAATTAAATATAATTAAATTTTCTAACAATTTTTAAAGAACTATTCATGTTCTTAATACAATAATTAGCTAAGGTTACTTGTATCAATGTATCATTAATCACAATAGACAAATTGGTTTAATATTCAGATTTGGAGTAAAGCCTTGCATGCTTCTTCATTGCCTAGATATAGGGATAAGTTGCATTGTGGTTGTTAATAGTTTTTGTTGCCACATGCTTTTCTTGGTTGAATTTCATTGAGACATCAGATTTTTTAAACTAGAAATTAGGGTAGAATATTGAGACAACAAGTTTTACTACACTTATGATTTGGATCATGCAAATATGATTAGAAAATTGAGTTATGATTATTATTTTATTTTTAGTTTTACATGAGAAATTATATAATTTATTTCTATACTTATGCTTCTTTGAAGATGAATTGAGAGAGTAAGTCACAATGGACACATTCGTTTTATACTCAAACTTTGAATGAGTTTCATTGGTGTTCTAGTTGTCTACAGAAAGGAGTTAATGTTTCAGAGTGGTCAACAAAATTGACAATCGTGCAATGCTTGTGTGAATACTGAAATGGACATTCATTTTACTTGAAGTGAGATCTAGAAGAAATTTCATTCATGTTATGTGTTATTTGTGATTGTTTTAATATGTGATAAGTCTGTACTTAGGCCCTTTTTTACAATTTATATATTGATGTTTGTCCTTTATTTTATTTAGATTTTACATTGATATATTTGTATATTATACAATTTAGCATGAAAAGGTCACAACTGGGTTTAAAACGTGTTTTGGACCTAAATTAGTTGCAAAATAGAGTTTCGCAGTAG